ACCGATGAAAATGATATTATCCTCCACCGTATTTTCTATTCAGAATTTAACAGGTGGGAATTTTAAGACAAGTGAATTAATGCAGTAGTGACCTCAAGTCACGCTAAATTAATTTTGAAGATGGTATTTTTGATTCTTCTACTGTATCTCTGTCCATTATCATGATATCCTGCGTAAATATGCAACCCCTTAGGTTTGGCTCAGCTTATTTCAAATCCTTCTGGCCAACCAATCGAGTCTGCGTTACGACTGTTCAGTGACTCACAGACGGGCGGCCTTGCTGAAACTTCGGTCGCATCTGACCGAAGACAAAATCGACGTGATTCCTGTCCTGGCTGATCTGAGGCGCTTTCTGGAACATTTGAGCTTGTCCCCAAACCCCGGAGGAACCACAGAGTCTGGGATGGCGAACGTGTGTTTGGTTGAAATGATGCCTGAAATACGTGATGGGTTGTGCCGCAAGTACGTAGAGGAAATAAGTAATGAAATTCACATTATTTGTGAATGTTTAGTTTATTCTTACCCATTTCCTACCGAAACTTTAATAAACGCTAATTACAAGATACCCATCCAAGTTAGTGTTTTCATACCCTTCTGAGTTTGATTGATCATCCTTGATTTTTTCACCCATTATTCGCCTTGGAAAACATGACCATATATATAATGGTCATCTGAGGAAGTAAATTCTGCGGATATACTGTTCTCGCTTGGATTGTAAATGAGTTTTTACGAGTTAGAAGCTGTTAACCGCAACAAAGCGAGCTTAATGTCTTTTCAGTTTAAAGTGATAAGGAGAAGAGAAATTGGTATCGATATAACACACCTCTGGACGACGTAGGAGATAGACCGAACGAGGAAGAGCCCGGGTGCGTATATGTGATGATTGGACTATGATCATTAAATCTGGGAAAACCAAACTGGCCGCCGATTAGGTTTTGTTGCATTTTAATAAGAACAATTTCATAATTTGTTATGGAGAATCTTTGATACTACAATAAGGAAAAACTGGTCCTGCATTGTTGCACTTAAACATATCACCTGAATTTTCTTGATCTGGAATCTACATTGCAAATAGCAAAAGCACATCCTGTTATCCTATTACAGATACGCAAAGAAGTGGAAACAATTAGCCATTGACTTCTTCGACCGCATCGAATCGGACCGGGGAAAACAGGCTGCTCGGCGCGCAGCCACTCAGTGGACCGAAACATTCTCGGACGACCACTTAGATAAACTGTTCTCCAACATGGGCGATGGAGAGCTGGGCCTACCGAATCCCTATGGCGGTCAAACGAAGTGTGTGGTTTGCGGGGAACCGACTGTCAAACGTTGTTCTCGTTGTCGCACCGAATGGTATTGCCGACGGGAATGTCAAGTGAAACATTGGTCAAAACATAAAAAAGCATGTGACCTGATGGTAGACGCAATCAAAGCAGAACAAGAAAACTGAATGTAACACTGGTTTCATCTCAACTGTACAGGAATTTAAAAAATAATAAACCTATAAAAGGTGTACGAATAAGATTTTGTTGTCTGTCCTCCCGCGATAGAGAACAGTCTGTACTGAGACCAAGATGCAAAACCAGAATAGGACGCGCTCGTCGGGTTCAGTTTTACCAAGAAACAACGCACTTTGTCCCGGCAAAAAGCTTATCCGTCTTAAATGGATATAAGATAAAAATTTATGGGGCAAAAAAGATAACACAAAACACTTATTTTCGGCTCTCATTGTCCAAACGGGTATCTCCTTTTTCTCACAATGCTTTCACAGTTGAACTTTTTAGACCAGAATTGGCGGGAACGATGAATAAAACTGGTATTCTTAATATACACAATCCTTAGAAGAATTACTTGACCAGGTGTTGCCCCATGCGGACACAACACAATTTCAGATGTGGTAGTCTCCGGCTAGGGAGGAATGTACGCGTTGCGGAAAAAATAAGCATTCAGGGGATAAACCAGGAGTGAATAAGCATCGATTCACTGAGTGGTCGATCGAGAACGACAGCAGCAATGTCTTACGGATAAGGTCTTGTGCCAAACCTTAAGAGAAACAGAAAAGACTTATCCTCGTGGCAGATAAAGTAAAAGGACATCCGGTTGGTAGATGAATTATTCACAACCAAAAGCCATAACTTGCTACGAGTGATGGAATTATTGTGCGATAAGATAGTGAAAAACTGTTTCGTCCTTGCTCCAACTCGTTAACAGTGCGCACGTTTTGTCTATATTTAATGTGGCCGTTCGATCAAGGCGTAGTTTGTAGATCGTGTATTTAACTTTGACTACAACTCCACAGTTCGAGTCTCAGAAGTAACAAAACAAACAGTGCGGTCTATGGAGGTCGACCACTTGCTTCAGTACGACCGCGATTATCTAAAATTCTACGCTTCACCTCAGCATTGCTCGTCCGGTGTCCCCAGCACACTCGTGCGATGAGACGTGAACAATCTATTTTAATTCTGTTCCCACAATGGCCAGGTCTCTGCACTATGTAGCACCAATGGACAAACTACTGTAGCATATACTCAACCCTTCACAGATAGCCCGATGTCGCGACGGCGCCACTTATGCCTCAGATCCGCAAATGCCAACCGAGCCTTCTGTATGTGGGCCGATACTCTATCTGTGAATAATCCATCAGGTGCGACATAGCTGCCCAAATATTTGTATTAGTATAACTTTTGCAAGCTGAGATATGCTTACATTTCATTTAATAATTGTACACTGGTCATCACACCGGACAAAATCGAGAAATATAGACAAATCTAATATAGTAATGTGAAGATATCTCTGAATTTTGATTCATGCAATTAAAGACTGACGTAATTCATTTATAACTCGTTCCTTGTTGGTCAAGATGCGAGCCAGATACGGTACAGTGAAGTTTTTATAAATGTTTATTCGGGAGGGTGGATACCGATAAGAGGAACGAGTGATCGAGTGAGAGCGACAAGAAGATAAGTCAAAATGCTAAGGATGGGTGGAGTCATTTAGAATCTTATTGGCAAAGGTCATGCAAGACTTCATATGACCATTAATAAGTGCTGTGATTAATGAATCGGCAGAAATTAAAGATCCACGGCTTATTATCATTAATCCATGACGGACAGGTTTAAAGTCTTATTTTAATGGACCGGGAAAAACTACAGGGGGCAGTAAAGTAAAATAGGGAGAACGCATTGTTTAACAAAAGAGAAGAAAAATTTGTCTACTTTCTCTACTAATTCCCCAGTTAAAGTGAGGTTTGGGGCTCGGCCAATCAGTCTTGTAGCGGTATTTTACAATTTGAAAGTACAAAATGCATGGAAAACACAGATACACTAGCACTCAAACTATCCAGAAAAGCCTGCAACTTAACTAGATCTTCACTTAGCAGCACAACATCGTCTGCATACTCCAGGTCAAACAGCCTGTCATCTGAGAGCAAATCGATGCCGCCAACCTAACAGGTGGATAGGGTTATTTCAATAATTAAATCTAGGACAAAATATAATAATTTAATGTAATTTGATAGAAATGGAGAGGCAGGGCAACCCTGTCCAACACCACTCTCCGTAGTGAACTCGGATGAAAAAGTGCGTAAACTCGGCTTCGGCTGTTAGTATAAAGAGATCACAAAACTGAAATTTACCTCTTGAGCACACTTCAGAACGAGACAGCGCTAGCATACAGAGCGGTTGAGTGAGTCCAAACATTCATGGGGTAGACTCCTAATACCTTGTTGTTGTTTCTGTATCAGGTGTCAGGATGGATGAGGCCATTGTGAATTCAACGAGCAATAAGATAAGTAATTCAGGTTCATTGACACTCTGTAGTGACTCCTTGGAGGTGCAGCGAAAAACTGCACAATCACAGACTACGATGATTAAGGACGAATGACCAATAGTAGTGACCAAACCACAAGTAACCTTCATCTGCAACGGGTTATCTTTCATTGATTTCGAAAAATGAGCAGTCTTGGGAGAAAAAATGTTGCAATGCAGACAATGAGATGGCTTGATAGGGAGGAGGAGGAATGCAACGACAGCATAAGGACTGGAGGAAATACGATCGATTTACATGAGAACAGACCTACTCATCTATTTCAAAACCCTGGCTAATAAAGTAATGAGCACAGTGATTAAGCAGGGACGGAAGAATGGATTAATTTTCACATTGACCCGACGAGACAAAGGGAATTTTATTTCCAAGAGGATCATCAAGAACAAGCTAAGTCTGCGTAAACGGGATCTCAGACAAGTACCTGACAAACTGAAGGAAGCCGTTAGAGAGAATAGACATCCTGGATGGTTTATCAGTAAGTCTTCAGGAGAGCCTAATACTAGGACAATTCGACAAATGCTTACCGTTCCATGAAGCTGTAGACACCGGTCACTTTCATGAGGATAACCTCAAGCAGGTGAGATTCTACAACTGTACAGCAAAATTCGCTAATCGCTACAGAGCTCACAATAAATGAAAAATAAAAATGCGTCTGTTCGATACGGAGTGGGCCTGTTTTAAGAAGCAAGGAAGAAAGAGAATATAAACCCCATGATCAGTACACAATTTCCTTATGCGCACCCAACTTTTGAGGCATTCTGGTTTGACGATGTGACAAGAACATCACTGCTGTCATGCCCTGCAGTGTCTTTAAACAACTCACTCTGGTGGGCAGGAAAATGATCCATCCAATCGCTCAGAGTATCTCTTCAAAACTCGTCTCCACATCTTCGACCATATGACTTACTCCAATCCAATCGCTTCATCCTATGCAAACATCAGCAGTCCTTCAGACATCTTCTGAGTGCAAGCTTAAGTTCTCCACTGCTCGTATCGATATTGTTTAGTCGCTTCGCAGCAGCAAGAGATGGGCGCAGTCGCTCAAACCAAGGCGATTTATACTGTGGAAGGGGCTATCGATCGTATATTTGCCCTTTGTCGGATCCTCGAACACTGCTTCATGTTTCATCAGTCAATGAAGACCTGTTTCATCGACTTCCGTATCGTCTTAGATTTCGTCCAGCGAATTTTGAAGCTTGGTATCCAGGAGTACTGAGTACATTGGACGTCTGACCTCATCTAAATATCCGATCAGATGAACTGGACGCCGGTCCCCAATGGTTTGCGGTTTTCGCGCACCGCATCACTGCCCTGCGGGTCAGATCCTGGCTAGCCCAAAGCCTCCATTGTACATTCCTCCAAAATATTCACCTGATTTGGCAGCAGCGAACTGGCACTGTTCCGAACACCAGTAAGTAACAGACTTTCCGCTTTTTTTATAAAGATGATGATATCGTGGTTTGCCTGACTGGACTCACACGCGTGTGAAATATAGTTAAAAAATAATATTTGTCTTAAAAACGTAAAGGAATCCCACTATTCGGGCAACCAAGCCCGCACCTACAGAGTTCCCAAAATCGTTCTCAAAATGTGCTCCCGAACTGGTTCCTATTTTACGTCGTCTTTTCAGTCTTTCCCTCCAACTTTCTTCCTTTCCAACCCCCTAGAAGCAGGCCGTGAGTTTTCCCATTCCCAAACGCGGCGACCTTTCTAACCCCAACAATTTCCAACCCATTTCCCTCACATCTGTTCTTTCGAAAGTATTTGAAACTATCATTTCTGACCAGCTACGCACTTCCCTTGAACGCGAAGGACTACTGGGCGACCGCCAGTATGACATTCGATTGTGTCGTTCCACCGGTGACCTTCTGGCGCTTGTCTCACAACCCTGGTCAGCTCCACTCGATAACCACGCTTGACATCTCAAAGACCTTCGACCGAGTTTGGCACGGTCTATTGGCGAAACTAACCATGTTCGGATTGCCTTCAGCGCTCGCAGTGTGAATATCAAGTTTCCTCAGTAAGCGAACCATCTCCGTCCGAGTTGATGGGGTTCAATCTTAGCCATCCCCTGTGAACGCTGGTGTTCCCCAAGGTTCGGTACTTGCGCCCACCCTCTTCCTTCTATTTATCAATGATTTCCTTTCCCAAACTACTAACCCGATCCATTATTTTGCTGATGACGCCAACCTCCACTGCGGCCTCTCCTGCCCCACTGCTTGCCATGCCCAAACCAACGTCGATGGTGACCGCAATGCGGCTAATATGTCACTGGACTCC